CCTCCATAGGAATCTCGCTGGGCACACATCCAGAACACCGCTGCCAAGAAGACCCTCTTGCTTGGCACCATTAAGATGGCAACACTGAACCTCTTCCAGATTGTGAGCAAGCAGCTGAAGGAGACGACATATGTGTCCCTGGAGGACACTCACACACAGCTGGACATGGTAAGAAGAGGCTCAGGTGCCCAGCGGGCTGCATCTACTGAGCCAAGATGGTTCTGTATTGGTTGAGTCAAGGAATGAACCGAACAGAGCCATGGTTCTCCAATGTTAACAGGATCAGAATCACCTGGGGGCTGGAGAGTATTGCTGGGCCCCACCCCCGGAGTCTCTGATTCAGTAGGTCTGAGATGAGAACCCATGAATTTCCATTTTCAACAAGTTCCCAGGTGACGGTGCTGGTCTGGGTTCCACATTTTGAGAAACACTGCATTAGAACTAAGACCCTGTTGGGCCCAATCAACACGAGTAGTAGCAGGGACCCACTATTGACTTCATTAGTTATGTACAATAGTCTTATTAAATTCTAGTTGCCGAAGGCTTGTGTCCAAGGCTCACTCTTTAGGAAAAGAGAAAATTGGTGGGGTTAGAGCCATGTTAGTACCGATCTGAGATTTTCTCTTTGAAGTAATCGAAAGGCAATTGAAAAGGAAATAACTTTTTCACTGTTATCCAAAGCTATTTAATGCCACGTCCATGTGCCACCTAAAATCATCTCACTTCTGACCAAAGGTAAACACATCCCGCAGTTTGGGGAGCTCCCCACCAGCAGATGCATTAGCCTTTAGCTCTGCTGTGAAAGAATAGAAAGTAAGTTCCTGAAGACCGAGATTTTTGTGTTGTTTCCTGCTGTATCCTGTGTCTAACACAATGCCTGGCACATAGTAGACACTCTATAAGTGTTTGGTGAATAAAGATGAAACACAAGCCAAAAAAGGCAATTGACTGAGAGGTACTTCCCTTATTTAACAAAAAGAAAGGTGAAACTCATAAAATGTAAAGAATTTCACCCACTGACCAGTCAGGGAGAAGGATTTCCCTAAACCAAAGAATCAGCCTGCTTCTTAAGGCATATTTGAGCAGAATTACTGACAGCTCAAAAACTAGAATGGGAATTTGTAAGAAAGTTTGTTCTAAAGCAGCGATTCTCAAACTTTTTCATAATAGGATAGCTTTACACTCTTAAAATTTATGGGTAATAGCTATTGATATTTACCATATTAGAAACTCAAGCAGAAAAATTAAAAATAACTTCATTCATTTCAAAATGACAATAAGAAGCACGTTAATATAAATAGCATTTTTAATGAAGAATGCATTTTCAAAAAATATTTTGTGGGATGAGTTGCATTATTCGACACTTTTGCAAATTTCTTTAATGTCTGGCTTCATAGAGGACAGGTGAATTATCATATCTGCTTCTGCATACATTCCCTTGTGATAGCCTACGTCATGAAAAATCCCACTCTGGTTAAAGCCACTGTACACTTGTGAGACAATAAGCAAAAAAGACAAATAATGTCTTAGTATTATTGTAAAAAGAGATTTTGTCTTGCATCCCCTCTACCCAGCAGCAGGGCCTCAGGGTCTCCCGGAGGTCCTCAGGCCCCTTCCCTTTAGCTGTTGTAAAGAAAGCTGGAGCAGGAGGTAGTGGTCTGGTCTCCAGCTCCTTGACCCTGCCTGAGCATTCTCTGCTTAGATCATACCATGTTTCCCCTAAAATAAGACCTAACTGGAGAATAAGCCCTAGCATGATTTTCAGGGGCTTGTAATATAAGCCCTACCCCAAAATAAGCCTCAGTTAAGAGCATCAGCCAGACATGACTGTATTTGAATAAATGTAGATTTTTGTACATGAATAAATGAATAAAATGCATCTTTTGGAGCAAAAATTCATATAAGACCCAGTCTTATTTTTGGGGAAACACGCTAGCTTCCAATCTGTCCACTCCAGACTGTGAGTTTTCTGATTCCTTCTCAACCTTGATTTGCCTCTACTGGAATACTTCATATTGCCCAAATATTATTTTAAAATATCCCACTTGATTCCCATAGGATATGAGCCTACTGACAGAAATACACATGATCAAGCAGCCTGAATAATTAAAAATAAGGACCAGGAAAAATATAAGTTAAAACCTGAGGTCAAGGCAAGAGAGAAATAGAGACTGTAGATTCTTGATTATAAAGGACCGTAGTTCAAAAGGGGTTGGTCCTGAGCTTCCTGGTAACCAGCAGGAAAAGCAACACACAGCTCTGGTACCAAAATAAGAAAACATAAGGTTTCCTCAGAGAGAGTGAACCATTTCCAGCACTTAACTCTGAAATTTCTCAAGGAGGCTTTACAGACACGCAACGAATAATGTTCTCAACATCATCCCCACAACAGATCCAAGCGTGGGCTTCAGAAGGCAGCCACTTATCTAGAACTGGGAGCATGGTACCACACACAGTGCAACTTAGGAAAAGTGATTCTGCGAAAGGCCAAGACAATTTGAATTCAATCTACTGTGTCATGGAAAGCCCTGAATTATCCCTGAATAAAACCCAGACTGTCTGGAGCAGCACTTTCCAAACTGTGCTTGGAATATCCTAGAATCCCAAGCTATGGGGGAATAAAAGGACTCCATGGACTAATGAGTTTAGAAAACTCTAAAGTGAAACAAATTTAGATGGTCTTTAAATACGGAACTTTGCAGTGTCTTTGCTGTGATTCTGCCCTGAGACTCTCGAAGCAGATAACATTTCCAAAACTTACTTGACCACAGAACCCTTTGGGGGGTATGTGATTACTTATTATAAGAACATAGATTGGGAAATGCTAGACTTGTCTTCTCTGTAACCTTGAGAAAGTTACTCAATATATTGACTCTTTGTTTCCTCTTTTGCAAAATGAGAATTACATTGGTAATTCTTTTAATAACAGTATTCGTAGCTGACAGAGTTGTTGAGAGTGTTGGACAGGCTGTGTAGTCCCATTTCCAGCAACATTCTTGAAAAGGAGAAATTTTAGAACTGGGATCTTAGGGAGGCCATCTAGGCCAAACTTTCCTCCCCTTTCCCTTTTTATTGACTATGTTCCCTATGCTGTACATTAATCTCCCCCGTCCCTTTTTAAACATGAAGAAACTGAGTCCCAGAAATATGAAGGGATTTCCTGAGAGTTGCATTGGGACCCCCAAGTCTTCTGACTTGTGAGGCAGCGTTCTTTCCACTCTCATACTGATTGCATGTTCTTTAAAACAGATGATAGTGAATAGAATTTAAGCTTTCCTAGATGAATCAAGATTATCATAATGAGCATCAGTTCTGGGTTTCAGGTGAACAGCCACCATAAAGGTTATTGAATTGTGGAGAGCGGTCTGCCCTGATGCCAGCTGGACCCTGCCTGTTAAATGCTTCTAGTCCCCAGTCTGCTCAGGGTACTCTCTCTCTTCCCCCTTGAGTTATACGGTCAGCCTGTACTTCTACCTACTGTCACTGTGTCTGCCTCTATGAGTTCCCAACTTCATTCCTATTTATTGCTTTTCGTCTACTAAGCCTGATCCTCCATTTCAACTAGAATAATTGTCAAATGAGGGGAAGTGGCCTCAAGAAGTCAGTCACAGAAAAATGGTGACTCTTCGCAAGTTATACCTGGACATGCTCCATTTTTGGATGGGGTGGCCTGTCACTGGGTGGGGTTAACTCTGATGCCCTTGCCTTGTTAGATCCAGCAGTTTATCCAGGACCTGTCGTACCTCTGGGCAGAGGTGAAGAAGAAGGACCAACAGCAGATCCGGTTTTAAGGAGCAGCTGATTCCATAATGTTCTGAGACAGAGACAAAGAGAATAAGTTCCTGGTGAACTTGCAGTCCAATTAGGCAAGTCGAGCCCCGTGAGAGCCCTGTGTCTTTCTTCTGGCAGACAGCCTGCCGTTTTTCCCCTCGGCCCTCAGTCTGTCCCATTCCTGAAAACATTCAATTCTGTAAGAAGTTTCTTCCTACGTTCTCTCTATTTTTGGTTGTTTATTCATAGGGAAGAGGGTCCACTGAGGCGAGAACCCCCAAAAGGACCGCCTCTTGAGACTGCTCACTTAGGCTGCCCAGGGGTATAAAAACCAAATCTCAGGTCTGGTGTCTCCTAGGCTTTGGACTTGCACACATTATTCACATGCGCAGGAGACCAGCAGGGTGAGTACATGGGACTCTTTTTTTCTCTACTGTTTCAAAAAAAAAAAATTAAGTTGGTGTTTCTAATTGGGGTGCAGAGGCTCACTAGAAATTATGAAGGCAGCTTCCCAAGTCAGAGTTCCAACTCTTCCCTGACCTCGGGAGCAAGCCCTGCTCTCCCACCCTCTGTGAACCCTATAAGGACGACATGGTGTAGGCAATGCTAACATAGGAATAACAGGCAGGCAGCCAAATGACAGCATCTGAGCTGTCATTAAAACCAGCAAAACTAAACAGAAAAGAGGTAAATGTAAAGTCTTACACTTAGGGTCAAAAACTCAATTGCACATTTTTTAATCATCAGTGGCAAAAGTCAGGTCGGAGGCCAGACAAAGGAAACGGCATTTATTGAGCCAACACTTCACGTTCATCATCCCAGTGAAAACTCTGCAGCACCATTGTCTCTGTGTAACCCAACAGGCCACTTGCCCAAGGTCACTGACTACAGATGACAGGGTCAGGATTCACCCTGAGTCTGCCTGACCTGAGCCTGGGCTCCCTCAGCCAGGCTGCCTCTCCAAAGGCACAGGACTGCTGCTTTCCCTTCCAAAGCAGGCTGAGGAGCAGGCCCGAACAAGGCTCCTTGTTTCCTCGCTGGCCCCATGATTCCAGAGGGCCTGCCGGGATCCTCATTACCTCCAGGGGACGGCGCTGCTGCACCCTCCCCTGCTGGGCAGCAGTACCCCCACCTGCCCAGTTCTCAACATGGCTCCTGGACAAGCAGCATCACCATTACCTGGGAACTTATTAGAAATGCACATTCTCAGGCCCCACCCCAGATCTGAGAATCACTCACACTCCGGGTGAGACCCAGCCATCTAGAGTTCAACAAGCCCTCCCAGTGTTTCTGATGCGTGCTCAAGTTTGAGAACGACTGCTTGATAGTGAACCAAGCACTTTCAAGGACCCGGGCGCCTTTCGTCTCCTACCATGTGAGGTAATATGTGTCAGTAATAACTTGCATCAGTCCGAGAAGCAGAACCACAGACAATAGATAGAGATGTATATAAAGGGGTTCATTACAAGGATTTGACCTTCGGCAGTTGTGCAGTACTGTTGTTAAGCAGTCTCTGCAAAGCTGTTGTCTTCACCTCTGATGCTTGACCTTGAAGCCCACAGCGGGAGGTAGTTGGGAAACAAATAGGGATGTAAAGTGGAAGAGATCAAGAGTAAGTCAGAATCCATATGCAGAAGCTGGACCCAAGAGAACGGACAGAACCCTAGGGCAGTTCTTGTCGTTTCCGAGCTTGATGGTACGTATGTCCTACAAAACCCTTCATCTTGGCGCTGAGCACACACACCAGGCCCAGGAGCAGCTGACGGAGGATGGGGGAGGGTGGAGTAGCACCGCCAAGCTGCTGCCTCACAGGGATGAGGTGGTAAGGTCAGCGGGCTGAGCAGCGCGGCGTGTGTGAGCTACAAGGCGGCTGCGGCTTCACTGCCACCCTCCAAACCTCCCACGGGAGTCTCTGTGACCCCACTCACACCTCCACCATGGAAACATTCAGGAAAAGGAGTTCTGGGAAATATAGTTCAGCTTAGCCAAGCTGCCATGTCCCCAAACCTCCACACTATCATTATCTGTGTTTCACAGAGTAGGGGTTTGGAGCTGGCCACGGTGAAAGCGACTTCTTTCTGGAAGGGGTTGGAGGTCAGAGGGAATTTCACAAACTCAGGAGGGGAGAGTTCTGTGAGTGGTGCTCAGACAAGAATGGGTAGAGGCTCTCACCGGAAGGAGGTGTCAGGTGGTGAAGGATATTTCTCTGAAATAGCTTCCCCTCACCTTTGAACCTCCTGGGCTGGGTCCTGGGAGACAGGACAGGGTGCAAGACAGACAGTTCCCCCAAACTCCCAATATAGCCCCCACCCACCCACCATTTTCTGCTGTATCTGTGAGGTGGTGTTTGAGAAGTCTGACCTGTAAGGACTGAACACATTCCTTGGAAGACCAGGCCCCCCTCAGCCCACCCGCTTCCCAGTCCTGAGCCAGAGACCCACCCTCTCCCTCTTGGCTGCTCAACTTGAGTATCAAGTTTCCCAGCTTGATGGAAACGGGGAGTCGTGAAGAGTCGCACTTAGAATTCCTGTGATCACACACAAGCTTCTCCTAACCCACACATGTTTACAAATATCTTTAACTCATTCTGATACTACTGCATTTTTTTAGGCTTCAAAACGGGCCCAGGAATAGGGCAGAAGAAATGCTGTGGATCTAGGCAGATTTCTTGATTATAAGCGAAGCCACAAATCCACAAACTCATTCCCAAGCCCACAGAACAGGGCAGAGCAAATCCAGAAGGCCCAGAGATTCACATAAGCCTGAGCGAGAGGGCTTCCCATGAGGAAGGGGGTGGGCAGCGGTCAAGAACAGACCCTCACTCCTTCTCCCCAGTCCCTCAGCATGTCTGCCCTGGGCCCTGGACCCACAGAAAGATGCTGAAGGCTGCCCAATCAAGAGAGATTTGGGCTCCCGGATGCATGAGATCATGTCCCAAGAAAAAGAAGAAAGCGTTAAGGGCTGATTGGAATTTTCCCAGCAAGAAAAGATATCAGTTTATTAAAGCAGAAATAACTGATTGGTTCCAGAAATGGATGGTACTCATCAGCAAGGGCAAGAAGTAGAGCTCTGGGTGTTTTATGGGTAAACAGAGGCAAGACTTTCAGAGACTCACTTTCCATGCTAGAATGCCCCATTCCCCGTCAAACCTGCTAGCTCTTCCTGATGGAAAAAAGGAGAGGGAGGGAGAAAGGAAAAGGGAGGAGCAGGGCCTCAAGGTGTGAAAGAGCTCAGCCTGCAAGTAGCCAAGTAGACTGACATCCCCATGTTTGTCACATATGCCACACCATACACACAGCCCCCCAAACTGTACATCCAAAAGCTGCTGCTGAGGATGGGATTAGAATAAAGAGTTGAAAGCTTTTTGGAGTGATCTCTGTCTCTCTGGAGTAGCTAAAGGGTTCAGGCTTCTTTGGGATTAGCTCTTGGCCTCTGGGATCAGACCCCTCCCTCAGATGATTTTACCCTCGCAGCCCCTTTCCCAGTCTCCAGGCCAGGGTCCCATGTCCTCTATACAAGGGTTTCAGCCCAGGCTGTCAAGAAGTGCTGGACGCTGAAATTATATAAAGGGATGAAGGTGGGGAACCAACCAAGTCTTTCTGAGGAAGCTATGTAATGTTTAAGAAGAGACTTACAGGATAAATAGGTGTGTGTGTGTGTGTGTGTATTTATTTTGTTATGTTTTTTTGTTTGTTTTTTTGTTTGTTTGTTTGTTTGCCAGACAATGATTAGAAGGAGGAGGAGGAGGGAGAGTAAGGCTGTTCTAACACAAAATGGGGAGACCTGGGGTCTGGAAGGGATGGATCAGAAGGCCCATGTCACTGGACAGAGCTAGGCAGAGCTAGATTGGGTGCGGCCTTCTGGGTAGACATTTCCAAGAATCTTGTGTTTTCTTTTAAGAGGGCTGAAGAGCACTAGAGAATTTTATTAGTACAGAAGGAGGAGGAGAAGGAGGGGAAGGGGGGAAGAGGAGGAGGAGTAGAAGGGGAAGAAAGGGAAGAAGAGGAAGGAGGAGGAGGAGGAGGAGGAGGAGGGGAAGAAAGGGAAGAAGAAGAAGGAGGAGGAGGAGAAAAAAGAGGAAGAAAGGGGTGGAGGGACTAAAGGCTGAACTCTGAGTAGAAGTTTATTTGGTTTTTGTTTTATACTAACAGGCTTAGAAAACCTATTTGGCACAGAATCTAGGTTCTGGGGAATAAGGTTTAGGGAAGGGAAAAGGGCGTAGATCTTTCCATCTGAAAATTAAAACAAAGCAAAACTGACAAACTCTCTCTGTCCTGTGCTAAAAAGGCAAGTCTCTGAGTGCTGCTGGTGAAATCTGCGCTTAATCAGGTGGGCTCAGGGCTTCCACCCCCTACATGGTGAGCTTTCCTTGGGGGCTGTTCCACTTTTTCCGCAAGGCAAGATACCAGACTCAGGATGATGGCACACAGTTGTCTTAGCAGCAGCCAGTCCTGCACTACTGTCAGCAGCCTATACAGCATGTCAGTTTCAAGCTGGGGAGGGGCATGGTCAGATTTACTCTTGGAAAAGATGGCTCTGGCTCCTGTGTGAATGAATTGGATGGGGTACAAAAAGGAGGGAGGCCAGAGTGGACTCAGGGAGATCATTTTGCTAAAGGATAGTTTTTTAAGTAAAATTATGACTGCCATATAAATATAGAATGCATACGTCTTAAAGATTTTATTGAGCTCATCAGTTGTGAGAACTGGTATGCTATAAAACCGAGTTCAAAGGAGAATCCAAAGAACAGGTGCATACAGAGACAATCAGGAATGCTGAGGTTAATTTGCTAATAAGATGCAAAAATGATCTCTGCCATAGGGCAGAAGTTCAATTGCATCTTCCCTGTGCAACATTCATTTGCATTTCTATGAACAGAGATCATTTGCATCTCCTCCATAAGTTAACTTCTGTCTCTACAGAGTGGCAAAATGGTAAAGAAAACAGAAAAAGGAAAGAAAGGTGCAAACCCCTACAGAATCAGATAACCCTAGAAGGGTCCTCTAGAGATACCACCACTGAAAGAAAACACAGTAATATTTTTGCCTATTTCAAAGCCGTTCACAAGTGTTGCTGACAATCTGGAGCTGCTGCAGTGGTCCATGCAA